TTGTTTACATAATAATTTTCAAATAAACTTCGTAATTATATGTGAGATTAAAAAAAATGTATAGTTTCTACTTGTGGCATCTCTAATGAAATAATTTTCACAAATTTTTACTAGAAGCAAAGGAATTTTAAATAGTAACTTCACTTTATTAAAAAACAACTTTTTCCCAATACAATCACAGATGAGACACTACCATTAGATGTAAAATCAAGCATAGATTGTTGTTTAAACATGTGGCATCTCTAATATGTCAATACCTGTGGAGTTTTATTATAAAGGTATTTCTTTATAGCTATATATATATATATACACGTATATATGTAAAATATTAAATTGTAGAATTTACTTAAACATAGATTGTTGTTAAACATGTGGCATCTCTAATACGTCAATACCTGTGGAGTTTTATTATAGAGGTATTTATTTATAGCTATATATATATATATGTATATATGTAAAATATTAAATTGTAGAATTTACTTAAACATAGATTGTTGTTTAAACATGTGGCATCTCTAATACGTCAATACCTGTGGAGTTTTATTATGGAGGTATTTCTTTATAGCTATATATATATATATATGTATATATGTAAAATATTAAATTGTAGAATTAAACATATAAATAATTTTATTAAAAATATATTTGTTATTATATAAACAATCTACCAATTTTTTATTTCATTTTTAGCATTTGTAAGCAATCTATTTATGACTTCTTGATCATCATCATTATCATCTTCACAATTTTGGTCATTTTCGTTATTATTTCTAATATTTTTGAATCATCTTTCTCTAATGTTTTTAGGAAAGAAGCAACATTATCAATTATACCATTTTCATAAAATCTTGTACAATGACTGCAACATTTTTCTAACATTTCAAAACAGTCATAATGGTAACTATGATCACAAATTAATACTTCCCCATCACATTCAGGAAGATTTGGATCAAATTTATTATCACAATGATCACATTTATCTTTCTCTGGAGGATGTGCTGTATGATATCCAGAGGGAAGTAATTTTATATCTACTATTTTATCTAAGGTGCACATTTTATATTTTATTAATTTTTTTTTGCTGAAGACTGGCTGACTGTTATTTAAATTTCTATAAATCAAGAAAAAATATTCTATCAAAAAACAACTTGTTTTTTTCTTTAAATAGTTTAAAGCTGTTGGTGTATATGGATATCTTTTACTTTTTGAAAAGGCATTGGCAAATGATTCATTTTTGTGAGAATCTATTATAAATGCTTCCTGTATAATTGATTCTGCTAAAGAAAGCCTATGTGTTTGGGCTCTTATTCTATTATGTACATTTTCAACAAAGTAATCATTAAAATTGACTAATGAATTTTCCAATAATTTGGCAAAAGGGTGATTATTATTTTTCCAGTAAAAATAATCTGATAGGAAAGCCAATGGAAGTTTTTTATAATTTCTTCTTTTCCATCTTAGGAAAAAAGTCCAGATTCTAAAAATTGTCTCTACATATTGTTCAAAGGCTCCTGATCGAAAAAGTACAGCATATATATCCAAGGTTGCTGGAATAATATTATCTAACAGATCTATCATTATTCTGTACTCTGTATCTTTAGTCTTTCCAAATTTTTCCACAATTATATTAGAAATTTCTAACCAACCATCATGTGCAAACTGAAGAATATAATTAATCTTCCATGGTTTGGGTTTTTCTGGAAATTTCGTCTTTTCAAAAACATTACAATATAACTTTTTGAAAAAATCATGATATAGTATAACAACATCTTCATGTGAATTAAGAGAAACATGTAAAGGTCCTAAAATTGGAATAAAGTTAAGTATGCAATCCTGATTATTTTGTTGAATATTATTTTGCTGATTTTTAAATACAAAGTGATTGCTTTTCTTATAAAAAGTTGCCTTGAAAAGTCTGCTATTATAGGTATAGGATGTGCTTTAATATATTCCACCAGTGATTTGATATCTGTAATCATTTTAATTGCAGTAAGGTAGTCTTCTAGAGAGTGAAGATTTTGTTCCTTTATATCTAAAATTCTAACTGTTTTCATTGATCTCCCTTCTTTCCTTTCTTCAATATTTGCATTATATAGGTGCACTGATAAATGATCTAATTCGTCAAAATCATTCTCATTTATCATTTCATTTTGGATCCACTCTTTTTTAATATAATTATAACTTAGATCAAAATGACTTTTATAATCATTAATTAATCTGTAAATGATTGTTGATTCTTTGGATTAAAGAGTGGTATGTTGTTGCAATTAGCAGGAATTGCCAAAACATTTTCTATCTTTTAGCAATGCATGTTGCCATATGTGTTGCTGAAGATAATGAGGTAGAATTAGGTCTTCTCCATTCATGAATTGAATGATAATCATCAATATTAAATAAAATTAATCTTTCAATTAACTTACATTATTGGCAAAATATTTTTCAATTTCTTTAGGATGGTTTGCTTTTATTGTTTTCTTATAATTTTCAATTGTTTTATATGATGCAGATATACCTGCATTTGATAATGTCTCAATTGCAGCAGCACTTGTACCATTTTCTGCTAAATAAAGACCAAGGTCCAATTTGAAGGTATTTACAAATTTATTCCTTAAACCTGCTAAAAGGTAACAATAACCAACTATTGCTTTTTTAGCAGATTCTCTATTTGAAAAGGTACGATTATCAGGAATTATATTTAACATTTCATCAAAAAATCTTTCTAATTTTGGTTCACTTTCCTCAATTAATTGGCAAAATTTTATTGGATCCAATTCAATATCTGTATTATATTTACGTTGATTATTATATAATACCTTAGTCAATGATTCAATTTTGTTCAAAAAGGACAGTTCATCTATAATTAAAATTTAAATTAGTATCTTATAACCCTTAGAAATCTTTGTAAAAGAACAAATAGCTTTAACTTTTTCTTGAATCATTTTGAACTGTTAAACAAATATCAGCAGTTTCAATTAGACTTTCAATTTGTTTTTGATTATTTTCAATTGTTAATTCTATATTACTGATTTTTTGAACCAACAGCTTAAAATCTTCTTTAGATAGAAGAACTCCTTCTTCAGTAATATTAATGTTAATGCCTATTAGAGAAGGATTGTTGTTCACATTTTCCATTTCACTATTGTCTTCATTATAACCTTTTGCTTCTAATCTTCTACATTTAGTTGGTTCAGCATACTTCATATAATGGATAAAACAAAGTTGATCAATTTTTAAAAAATTAAAATCTTCCAATTTGGATGTTCATGTAATTTTTTCAATGCAATATCAGTAATTCTTCTAAATTTATCAGCATCAACAGTACTTT